TGTCCTACGAGGTCTGGTTCAAAATCTCGTTTTCGACCCTATCACAGAGCTTCCTCTATGAGATAGCAAAATCCTATTGTATGGTTATTTACTTACACGTACTATATCTTCTCTTTTTTTTTTCTCATGACGGTAATTTGTTGATCTAGGCTTTCTCTTTTTCGATGATGGAGACTTCCACGAATTATACACTTGACGAATCGGATCTGACATTACGATTGAATGTGATTGATTATTTATTTTAATTTTAAATCGACTTTTAAACAATTTTGCTCTTTGCATACACTCTTTTCTTGACCAGATGTAAGTTCTCTGACCTTAAGGCCTGCCGGTATAGTTGTACATCATAGTGGCGCCAAACGCATTGATTCGGTTCGGTATTTTTTCTCTCTTTCCACCCTTAAGACATTCTCGCGCGTTTAGTAGTAGTAAGCAGAAGCTTAGTAGTCAACCTGTAGTCTAAGTAGGTTAATTAGTTAATAACAAAATGTGGGCCTTCATTTATATTAAGTCACTTAAATCTTATTTTAACATTAATTCCGATGATATAACTGATTATAAGTACGAGAAAATTGGTCATCAATCGTATAAATTTTCTAAAAGAGTCTTCTTGTGTAAATTAAATAACCAAAAATACTATTGCCAAATATTAGTTGTAGCAGGTAGGTTCATAATTTTTGTATTTTACTATGCTGCATTAATCTTAATATAAAAATATTGTAAATTCTTTTGTAAAACTTAGATGAATATTGCATATTAAATAGGTTAAGTAACAAAATATTGCTACAATAAATTATTTTGATTGTTATCTTTTACAGATACTGAAGAAGAAGTTGATGAATATGTTACAAAAAAGAGACCAGTTCTTCCTACCCTCAACGTATCTGATATCCCAACAATTGATAATGATGATAGCGAGGATGATCAAGACAGCCAGGATAATGATGATAGCGAGGATGATCAAGACAGCCAGGATAATGATGATAGCGAGGATGATCAAGATGATAATGAGGAAGACGAGATTGCCAATGAGTTAGCTGATGCCAAACTTCAACGAAAGGTATGACTTTACATATAGACATACGCTATTAGATATAGGTATCATTTCATGCTGTTTTTTATTTAGTTTTATGTTTAGTGTAATGCGAGTGGAGTGCTTTCAGTAACATTGTGCATTAATTATTTACATATTTTAATTTGAGTCATTATTTTTTGTTACAGCAAGATAAACTCATCAAAAACCAAGCTTCTGCTAAAACAATGACAGATATTGTTCAAATCTATCAGAAGACATTACAACAACCAAATAAGCCCAGCTGCAGTGGCCTTGTATCTTCTAAGGGTACATCTTCAAATGGTAAAAGTCCATTAGAATACTCGAGCTCAGATAAAAATAAAGAATCCTCTGATGAAGACGATGATTCAATCAACGATGAAGAGGCGATAACTGCATCCAATGCCATAAAAGTTGGACGCAAAATACCTTTGCAGGAAAATGTTAGTAAGAATATATATACATCATTTGAAGAGTTTCTCTATTATTATCATTTTTAATATAAATGTAATTTCTTGCAATTTAGACTGAGAGCAATCAGTTTCCAACCAACCATAATGATGGTCACCAAACATTTGTGACTGATAAGGATTTACAAAATGCATTAGCCGAAGAAAAAAAAAAGAGAGTTAGAGCTGAAAAAGCTGCAAAGTTTTTGAATGACAAACTGACTCAACAGAAAAGAAAATCTGCAGAACATCAACAAGAACAAGGCAAGTTTTAATCATTATTTTAATAATAAATTCTGTTTTGTTTAAAAGCATTCTGTCTCTCGTTAATGTGTGTGTGTGTGTGTGTCTGTGTACACTGTAATATAGATAGGGTCGAATAATTGTACTTTATTTTATTGCATTTCAGATGCTGAACAAGCAGAGCTTGCTGTGAAAAAATTAAAAAGAAGTATCAACGCCTATCCAACAATCAAGAACCTTAATAGTGACATTACAGCTAATAAAGCAGGAGTTGAGAATGCTTATGAACAAAAAGAAGCATCACTGTTTTGTATTGGAATGATGTACGCAACCTGGGGTTATCGAGCATTGGCAGAACGTTGTGTGAAAAAAACCATAAAAACCCGTCACTTACAGCTACTTTCTCCGAGGAAGAAAAGTGCTGTTAAAAAGCACTTCGACCACATGCTAGCTTTCTACCACCGAGATTCGTCCATAATAAGTTATTACAAGGGCAGATTTAATAACTATGCTAACCGGGCTATAAATGGTGCTAAGAAGCACATGGACGTCGTGAATAAATATCCAGAATTGGATACTGA